ATATAGTATATATATATATATATATATATATATATATATATATATATATATATATATATATATGCCGGATATTCTCAAGAATTTACGGCATGCAGGGTTGATAAACTATAGTGGTTATAAGCAAACAGGAAGAACTACAGTATTTGGAGCTAGAGGTGGCGAGGGGGCAGCATTGACATCTCAAGGGTGGTTACACGAAGGAAACATCTTTGAAAGAGGTTTACCTTGAAAAAAAAAATTTCCAGCAAATTCACCCAAACCATCAGAATTTAGCAAGCACACTTCTCGGAATCACACATAAATTTTTGGACGATAGACATACGTCCAATAGTCCATAATAGTCGCCGTAGCAGATCAATGAATACCGATGGTCAACTAGCACAGAGGGAAGTGGTGTGGGAGGTCGGAGTGATAATACAGGGGCGCTATTGACCACAGGACCCTTGGCGGATGTCGTACCGGTGGTTCATGTGCTGACTGTAGGATCCCGAATGGCTGAAGCGTTTCAGGCACTTCTTGCACTGGAATGGCTTCTCGCCGCTGTGCAGTCGCTTGTGCTCGGTCAGGTGGTGCTTGTGCTTGAACGCCTTGTCGCAGATGTCGCACTTGTATGGACGTGCGCCTGTTTGAAACACAAGAACGTCAGTCGTGGTCAGCAGTCGGCTAGACGTGGATGGAGTAGATGGATGCCACGAGCTTCAAAGCATCGCCAATAATATGATGAGGTAGTGCCTGAGAGATTATATAGCTGTGTGCACTACCAACGAGCGGTGTGGGTAAGAAACCCTTGCAGAGACTGTAACCATGAGGTTAAGACAGGGTAAGAGGTCAAGACAGGGTAATATGGGGTTAAGACAGTGTAAGAGATTAAGATCAGCCTAATGGTTTAAGACAGGATGAGATGTTGAGACTGGGCTATATGGGGTTAATACAATTTAAGGAGTTAGGACAGCGTAAGGGGTTCCAAACCTTACAATGTATAGAATTAAGACAGCACAAGGGGTTAAGACAGCGTGAGAGTTTACGCGAGACGTTATACCAGTTAGAAGTTAGAAGAAAGAAGTTAGGATAGTGTAAGTGGTTAAGACGGTATTAAAGAGTTAAGAAGTATGAATCTAGTTAAGGCAGCATCGAGGGGTTAGCACAGCATGAAGGCTTGATCGCCGAGCCTCCCGCGCTCGCAGCACGCGGCCGGCAGGGGGCGCCACTCACCGGAGTGCTCGTACTTGTGGCGCGCGAGGCTGCTCTGCTTGTTGAACACCTTGTGGCACTGGTCGCAGCCGTACAGCATGCCGTCGCCGCTCTCCGCCTCGATCTTGTGCTGCTTCCACGACTTGCGCCGCTTGCTCAGGCTCTCCATGTCCTCCCCCTCCAGCGAGCCGACCTCGTCCGCCTCCACCTGCGGGTGCCAGAAGAAACACACAATTCAGCGATGGGTAGGCGAAGAGCGAGATCGGTCATTGGGGTAGGTGGGAGGGGGGAAGACAGTGTCATCGAGGAGAAAGTTAGTGTATGGGAGGAGCAGGGGGAGAATAGATGAGGAGAGAGTTAGTGTATTGGGGGAAGAGAGACGGCAGATGAGGAGAGAGTTAGTGTATGGGGGAGCAGGGGGAGCAAATGAGGAGAGAGTTAGTGTATTGGGGGAGGAGGGGGAGCAGATGAGGAGAAAGTTCGTGTGTGGGGGAGGAGGGGTAGAATAGATGAGGAGAGAGTTAGTGTATGGGGGAGGAGAGACAGCAGATGAAGAAAGAGTTCGTGTATGGGGGAGGAGGGGGAGCAGATGAGGAGAGAATTCGTGTATGGGGGGAGGAGGGGGAGAGCAGATGAGGAGAGCAGATGAGGAGAGAGTTAGTGTATGGGGGAGGAGCAGGGAGAGCATATGAGGAGCGTGCTGACGACGAGTGCTGATGCGATAACGTAGTAATACAATAGAGTGTTTAAGCATGCAGGTGACATCAGGAGAGGGCAATACTTTGACACTCACAGGTTAACTAGTGAATGAGACCTAAACGTTTACACAGCAAGCTAGCTGAGTGCCGAAGCAATAACATAGTAATACCAGAGAGTGGTTAGAGCATGCAGGGTGACGTTGTGTACCTGTACCTGGCGCCACGTCTTCTTGCGCATGCGCTTGCCGAGCGACCCGTCCTCGTCCATGCTGTCCGCGTCCTTGTCAAGGTCAGGGTTCGCGTTCTCGTCGATGCACTCGTCCGAGCACGACGACGGCGACACGGACGACGCCGGCAGCGGCGGCGGTGGCGTGCACGCCTGCGAGTGAGGCGAGCTGCGCGGCGACGTCACCACGTACGGCGGCGCCCCCTCTCCGCCGATGCCGAACGCCGGCGCGCGGATCATGCCCTCGCGGTGCATGTACTGGTAGAGGATCGAGTTCTCGATGCTGCGGCTCGTCGGCGTCGCCATGGCGACCGCGTCGCGGTCCGAGCGCCGGCTCAGGTTGAGCACGGAGAGCAGCTCGGCGTTCGGCTCGTCGTGCGGCGAGCACGCGTCGGCGGCGGCGCCCCCTCGTGGGCCCGCGTGCGCCGGCCGCGGCTTCAGCGAGAGGTCGAGCGGCGTGTCCTGCGGCGGCGTGTAGAGGTAGCTGAAGGCCTTCGTGAGCGAGTGCGTGAACGGTGACGCGTACGACGGTGGCGCCGGCGACGTCTTCGGAGCAACGGCGACGCCGCCCTGGTGGGCGAACTGTGGCGATGCGCCGACCGACGCGCTGTAGTAGAGCGGCTGGAATGATTCGGAGCAGGGTACGAGGGCGCCACTGTAGGGCGCGATCGCCGGCGGGAACGGCGACGAGGGACGCGGCGCCGCAGCAATGGCCTGCTTCGTCTGCTGCTGCTGCAGCGCGGCGACGCCCGACGACGGGATCGCTCGGCCCTTCTTGCGGTCGCGCGCGCGCATGTTCTGGAACCAGACCTGCACGACGCGCTTCGGAAAGCCGATCTCCTGGCCGACGCGGATCAGCTCGAACTTGCGCGGCCGCGGGTTGACCTCGTAGTAGGCGCGCAGCACCTTCAGCTGCTCCTCGTTGATGAACGAGCGCATGCGGTTCCTCGTGTCGTCGGCGCCCCCGCCGCCGCTCGCGTCGTCCGCGACGTCGCCCACCGAGCCGCCGTCCTCGCTCTCCGTCGTCGCGCTGTCCGCGTTGCCGTCCGACTCGGAGAGGATCGGGCGGCGGTAGCGCTGCGAGGCGGTCGCCGCGGCGACGACGTGGTGGTGCGACGAGTGGATCGTCGCGAGCTGCACGTCCTTGTTGAGCCGGCAGAGGTAGCGCTCGTGCTGGTGCTGGTCGATGCGGTTCGAGAACACCTCGCCGCAGAAGTAGCACCTGTAGCAGCTGCCGCCCTGCACCCCGCCGCCGCCTTCCTCCGCGGTCGCGGGCGCCTCCTGGCGGTCGTCGTCGTCGACGTCGCCGTTCTGCTCGGCGGGCCGCCGGTCAAGCTGCACCTCGGGACTGATTCCGCTCTTGAGCCGCATGAGCAGCTCGCTCTCCTGCTCCTTCTGCTTGCTGACCGTCGCGTTGACCACCTCCAGGATCTTCTTGACCGCCGTGAGATCGCCCGCCGGCTGCTGACCGCCGGGCCCCTCGCCCTCCTCCATCTTGACAACCGGCAGAGCCGCCGTCACCGCCTCCGTCACCGCCGTGTCGTCGCTCTGCTCCTCTTTCAGTTTCAGCTCGCCAGCGGGCGTCTCCTCGCCCAGCTCCCTCGCCGCCGCTGGTGCATCGCCCGCCGGCCGCTCAGAACTCGACGTGACGGCGTCGGTGGCTGGGAACATCGGTGACGCTCCGCCGCGGCGGGTCACATTGGGGTCGGCGGCGGTGGGGAGGGAGAGGACGGGCGCGGCAAGGGAGGTGGCGAGACCCGCGGGGAGGCCGCCGGCTGCGTACAGCGGTGACACAAACTGCTGAGCAAACAGGTACGGGTTGGGCGCGTACGCCGACGCCGGCCCTACCGCCTGCAGCGCCCCCTGCGCGCGCTGCATGGGCGGGATGAGCGCGGCGGGCGCGACCATCGCCGCGGCAACGCCGTCGCACGGCTTCCGTCCGCGCGTCTTCCCCGCGCTGCCTACCCCCGCCGCGCCACCGCCGCCACCGCCGCCACCGCCTCCCCCGCCGCGCGTCTTCATGTTTACGACGAGGCACTTCTTGCTGGTCATGTGCGAGCTGTAGGAGCCGGAGTGCGAGAAGTGCTTGTGGCAGTTGGGGCACTCGAACGGCTTCTCGCCCGTGTGGATGCGGATGTGCTCCTTCAGGTGGTGCTTGAACTTGAACGCCTTGCCGCACTCAGGACACTTGAACTTGCGTAGCACCTGCAAGTACTGACGCCGTTAAACTACGACTTTCTACCCGCGGTCGCGATTTTGTGCGGCGCGACGCGAATTGCTAGGTTAGACGCCGTGCAGACTAGATTCCTTACTGCTTTCGATTAAACGATTCCATCTAGATGCAAACACGACTACATGGAACCACCAAAGGTTCCGTTAAACTATGATTTGATATCTGAAATCGGGGTTTCGGCAACAGAAGCACAGTGCCTGGGCTCCTTCGTGACTGGCCGTTGTAAGCGTTCGTTTAAACGATCCAACCTAGACAGGTTTAGAACTACGGGGGACCCTCCAAGGTTCTGTTAAACTACGATTTTAGTCCTGCAGTGGGATTTTTCAGCAACAGAATGTAGAATCACGGTGTCTGGGCTCATCCGTGAGTGACAGTTATAAGTCTTCGATTAAGCACTATCGAGAGAAGATGGTGCGATGACTATGGGGAGCATTCGACTTTCGCTATCACGCAAGGTCGCGACTGATCGACGGCACGATTACCGAAGAGTATCTCATCATTAACACGAGTCTTGAGCATACACCGCGCACTAAATTGGCAAAGAGTTTACAAGTGCCAAGCGTTAGCGTAGCACGTGTCGCCGTTTCGAAGAAATTAGCGTTATGATCGAATTAGTAGCCGTAAAGCTATTACGGCTAAGCTGATTATGACCGCCACGAAGTACTCCTTCATCTAGAAGACACTTTTCATCGCACCGTGAGATGTCCTCACTCGCGCCGTGCGAACACAGGCGAACACACTCCGTCTACCCCCTCTACACCACTCTACCCCTTATCGCCCCTCTATCCCCCTATCGCCCCTCTACCTTCTATCACCCCTCTACCCCCTCTACACACCACGCACCCCCAGCGCCCCTTTACCCCCTTTACACCCCAACAGCCCCACCCACCCACACACGCGCCTTTAAACCCCACGACCTTCTCCGCCTCACGCGTCTCTCAGCGCTGGCGTCGCTCGGTTCTTACCTGGTTGTCATCGTGTGAGATCATGTGCCGCTGCAGCCGGTAGACGTTGGCGAACGTCTTGCGGCACACGCGGCACGACTGCTGCGTCGGCGAGTGCAGCGCCAGGTGCTGGTCCAGCTGAGACTTCGACAGGAAGGTCGTGTCGCACTTGTGGCAGACGAAGCCGGCGGCGGCGGCAGCGGCTGCGGCGGCGGCGGCGGCGGCGGCGGTGCCCTCGTGGCTCGTGTGGGCGGCGTGCATGTGTTCGCGCAGCGCGTACACGTGCGGGAAGTTCTTGTCGCAGTAGGGACACGACAGCATGTACTCGTCAACCTTCGGAATGCCATCTGCAAGAAGAAGTGACGGGCAGGACGGTCAGATGGAGGTGAACAGAGAGGAAAATAATAGTGGGTAGATGATCGACCCCACAGTGATGAGGGTCACATGTCGTCAAGACAATAATGAGAGGGGATGACAGAGAGACGTTGACAATAGACAGTCATTGATTGCCATCACGTAGTCTTCTTCCGTCGGTTGTGTGCGTGCGTGCGTGCGGAGAGGGGGGGGGGCGTACGTGCGTGCGTGCATGTATGCGTGTGTCTCTCTCTATGCGTGCGTGCGATATGCACGTTATGTTAAATATATTAGAGCCACTCATGCATGTAGACAACTAGAAACCCTATGTTGAAGCTTTTATATTGATGTAAAAATAATCGGATGTTAAAATCTGCAACATAATTCACTTGTAACGTTGACAATACACAATAATAAAGAGAGAATAATTAAATCCACGCAATAGAAATACAATAGAACTGCCACAAAAAAACCTCTGCCCTTCACACATTAATACTAAATAATGAATCTGAGATAATTACATAATGATCTCAAGCACTGCATACCACAAACAGTTTGAATATAATTAGACAGGGAAAGAGAAGTAAGACAAGCAGATGGCAACTCGCCCCCATCTATCTGCATGCATAACCTAAGCAATAATTAAATAAACTAAGCCAATACACAGCCTGACCTAAAACTAATTGAATAACTGTAAGGTTGGCATCATTATAATGGTATTTTATTTAATTCATTTTGCACCAGATAAAAGCTGTGCAGCCTTACGAACATCAGTATAAACGGTCTTGATGTGCTAAGTTCGTTAACGTTTTATTTTGATCGCAATGCCAACAGATTGTTTAACCTTTAAGCTGGATTTCATCATATTTATTCCCGTGCAAAAAAAGTCTTAATAAGCCTTTTATGATATTTCGAGGTTTTTCCCGTCTGTGCCACTTATGTTCACACTGAAAGTTACGCGCGTGAATATTTCATACGCTCGCCAGTAATTTTAAGCTGATTCGGTGTGTTTTTGACCCGGAAAACAAGAGCGATTCAGACAATTACGGCCCATCACATCTCCGCTGAGCAACCCTGATTTCGCAGCGCAGTGGCGGCTGTCCCTGTATAGCGGCGGCCTCTCGCGGCCGAACGGCAAACTAACCTGTCATGCGGTGATAGTAGTACCACATTACCGATCTCCACATCAGATCGTTTAGCATCATGTTCGGCATCATCATTCCACGTCGATCGATCTAACTAAGTGCACACGACGACGTTCGACAGATTTACAGTTGTTTTTTTCTCTCGCTTGGCGAGAAAAATATCACCGTCGCACGGAGCCCCTTGTAGTAGAGAGTCTCGGGTCGGTAGTAGACACGAGGGGGCGGGGAGAAATTTCACAGTCAGTCTCACGCCGCACGCATGCTTCCCTCGTAGTAAACACGTGGTTTCACAGCTGCGTCGCCACGAATCTCGCAAGATGCCCAGACAAAAATATCAATATTTACTTCCGCTGATCGCGGGCTATGTGTGCCTCCTGACGATGCCACGCCTGTCCATATATTGCTATAGGTTGTAAATAAAAGGAATCTTCCACGCACGGGATGACAATAAGGGAATACTCTCTTTCTCGCTCGCTCTCGGTTTTTCTACAGTAAATGCGCTATCACAGAAAAAATATTTCATTCGTCTATCGACAAACTTGGTCCGCTAAGTTGTTTCTTATTGCTTGAATTACACGTCGTGTTTTTACTGTCGTTCATCAATAATGCCACAGTAAATTATCACAGCCACTTATTCTATTGCTCGGGGAATGTCGCGCTTCTCTCCCCCACCGTACACACCGGTGGCCTCCTCCTTCTCCTTCTCCTCCTGTTCTTTTCCTGTCCCCCTCTCTTTCTACGCCTCACATCGATGCCAGCGTGCGTGCACTGTCCCGCCGCCCTCTCTTTCCCGCTCTGTCGCTCTCTCGCTCTCGCGCTCTCTCGCGGTGCGGGCCGCAGCAGCTGATCGGCTGGCGTTTCTCGGGGCGACTGCGTGACTGAGGCAAACAGCGCTGCTCTCGCCCGGTGACGACGACGTCCCAGCGTCTCGTGGGCTGGCCGGCGGCTAAGTGCATCCAAGTAATTAGTAGCCGTGCCCGGTGACACGCAGGCAGGCCGAGGCGGCACGCACACACACACGACTGCCGCGCTGCAACACCGCATCCATAATGCCGCTCATCTCACCAGCATCAGCAGCAGCAGCAGCATTAGCAGCAGCAGTAGCAGCAGCAGCAGCAGTATCGGTGGCAGCGACGGAGGAGTAGGCAGCAGTAGCAGCAGTAGCAGCGATGGAGGAGTCACAGTAGCACGGGCGTGTAGAGGCTTCTCCACTTATTGATACACCCTGCACCAACATCGCACGATTCAATTAAAGAAGCGACTATCAGAGATATGTCGCAAGCAGCACGGCACGCGGCCTTCTTCCCGCGAAGCAGTGCCCTCTAGCGCCCAGCAGTGACATTATGAAGGCGACACATGTGAAGAGAGGGGGTGGAGAGGGACGGAGAGATGGAGGGTGGGAGGAATGTAAGGGAGAATGGGGGTGGCAGGAATGAAGGGAAGGGTAGGAGCAATGGAAGGAGGGTGGGTGGAATCGATAGAGGAAGGGAGGGAGGGAGGAGGCGAGAAAGGAAGATTGACAGAGAGAGGGTGAGATGAAGATAGGGAGGCGGTGTTGCTAACTAGGAGACGGTGGAGATGGAGAGGGACAGACACATCAACGTCATTAAGCAAACGCGTGTCAATGGGGAAGGATGGCGAGAGTGAGAGAGACTGCGATGCACAGTGGCAGTAGTGGTCAACCAACAACAAGAAAGCCATGCATGCGTGTTCGCTATCGGTCGCTGAGGAAAGGGGAAAATTCCACTCGTCTATAGTGGCGGCGGCGACGACGACGATGACGACGACGACGACGATATCATCATCATGATCATTGTCGCATTGTGGGCAGACTCTTTTCAGCACGGCTCGTATATTTAGGACACCAGCTGCTAAAAGCCTCCGAGTCAATATAATTAGAAATGCCACAGATAGAATGCCAAACAGCTTGTCTTCATGACGGACCTTAAAGCAGTCGCTAGCTAGCTTCGGGGCCCGGGTTTCACTTCTCCGCGCCGCAGCGTTTTAGAATGGCTGCCTGCCAATGATATTTTCAATTACACTATATTCGTGCGTTATTGGCGGCAGCGTCTAGCCGCTATTCAGGATTGTCATCTTTTCTAGAAACGCGCCTCCTATTTAAATAACTTCTGAAATCACGAGTCATTAGCTCGCAGGGCGTTCGTTCGCTCGCTCGCCGCACGATGGCGCTATTAAGAGACGCACGTCATAAAGTCGTTTTACATACGCATCGCGTCTCGTCTCGTCTGCGCGCTGCTGCGATGATATGTTTTTCACAAAAAACGATTCCGGTAAATTGTGACACAGATGTAATTACACACCAGTTCGCGTAATATCATGCATACACACACACACGCGCGCGCACACACACACATACACACACATGCACGCATTCACACACAGACCACCACCACCACTCACAGCGAAAACTCAACATACATTTGATATGTTAAGCAGTCAGAGAAACGAATAGAGGCGAATAAATGTAATTTGCTGCTGCCTCCTTGCCGGCTACGGCATATAGCAGCCGATAGGTAATTGCCGTGGTGATATGTGTATGGCTCTGTGTGTGCGCGCGTGTGCATGGCTGCGTACAGGCGCCTGCGCGCGTGTGTGCGCAAAGAATCAGCGCCGGTGCGTAATCAAGTTTGCCCGCCACGTTCACTCCATCTTATTAATGCGAGAATATGCAAATACGATAAATACAACACACACATAACAACTTTATTGGCATAGCATTTCATTTACTCTAGCGTTTCACAGAACCGTCGTCCCTCATAAAAGTCGTATTTAATTAAATTTTCACTTGCTTCTGCCGATAAAAGTTCAGGCAGTTTGTACCCGAATAACGAGCAAATGTTAGTGCAAGATCCATGAATATTTTCATGAGGCCTCGGCATGCGACTTCCTGCTGCATGCTTCCCAAGTTGCTCGCCTAATTAAAGTATACGTGATGCTTGTCTCTTGTAATGGACCGAAATGCATTAAACAAGCAAACGTGGTCGGAATTTTAAGTCGCTCTTGCGCGGACGGTCGCTATGCTAAACTCTCCCCGTTATTCACTTATATTACAGATAGAACGATTTCGTCGATATTGAGCGTTTAGAGGCACTTAACATGCCTTTCTGTCAAAGACTCCCCCTCCCCTTCACCACGCACAACGCAGATACGCTTCCGCCTACATGCGCACACGCACGCACACAGGCACGCACGCACGCACGCACGCACGCACGCACGCACGCACGCAGCACGCACTCACGCACGCACGCACGCACGCACGCACAGATTTCGCTCGCGTATAACATCGTATAACATCGTTTCTCCGCACGCGCCGTCACTTACCTGCGGCAGATAAGCCGCCCCCCCCCTCCCCGGCACGCGCGCGCCCACCCGTGTAATGACGAGCGAATCGCGTGACCGCATCGCTCAGGTAATGCGGCGATCAAGCGCCGGAAAAATGCATCGCCGGGGTGCAACAACAGCGGCAAGCGGCGCTTTGTGCATCGCGGCGCAATTACGAGCGATTGCACGTTATCAGGTGCACCATCAATTGGCCAATTGCCGGCGCGCGTCCGCTGCGCAGGTATGCGGCCGCCGATTGGCTGCTGCGCCTTAATCACATTGACTAGGTAATTCACCGACGCACCTGCGCTCACGCAGCCCCGCGGAGTTAAAGGTGCACGCACGATCAGGCGATGCGATGCTAGCGCTGTTGCCGGCGGGCGATATCGCGTGTGTTTAGCAGTAGATGATGAAGTCAGTTGATCACGTATAGCGAGTCACACGCAACATCGTCGTTGGGCAATTTAAAAGCGATTACGGTTGCAAATTAGAACGTTTATACGTCGTGAATGTTCTATTACACTCGCGTTCGCGATCGCTTCGCGACATTATACCGGCTAAACGTTGATTTATGCATTCTCGCGACGTTTGCGTCAGTCGCCCTTAAATTTCATTACATCATATCATTATGTCAGTTTTTCTTTTCGCACGTTAGGAACCGTTACTCAGTTATAGTAAATTGCGACAAATTTACGTGAATATCGTAGATTCGGGTATGTGTCGGCCTACATGATTATGTGGGAGTGTCTAAGCGCGCAGATTTTCAGATGAATTCCATGTTTATTCACCAGAGAAATAAAGAGAAAAAGAAAGAGAGGGACACACACACACGCACGCACGCACGCACGCACGCACGCACGCACGCACGCACGCACGCACGCACGCACACACACACACACACACACACACACACACAGAGAGAGAGAGAGAGAGAGAG